CAGCGAGTAGTGATGTCAGCAAGTTTTAAATCAGTTAAGTGTGAGCAACAGTATTTACCACGCAGATGTGAACTGATCTATGTTTGTCTAGCACATGGAGATGCACAGTCTGAACAGCTCGTCCAAGTAAACTGACTGAATAAGTTTTCGCTGTCTTAAGAAATTAATAGCCTTTAAATGTGGAGCTCCTTTCTGAACACAAAGAGCCTTACTGTCAGGTCAATTGTGACTTACAGCACACTACTACTCTCGCCTAGTGACCGTAGGCAAGAGTAGAGATGTAAATCAACTAGGAAATTGGCAGCTTTCCATTGATGCCCACCTCTTTCTTCACTGCAAAGCACTGATACATCATCTTTGCCTTCTCCAAGTCCACAAAGCACTTGTAGATTGATTAGGCAAATCAATGCAGACATAACTCAAACACACCCACTAAATCTTCCACTCCCCTCTTGTTCATCTGTGAACAAGAACGAGATACAGAAATCCTCCATTTAAGGAAGCAACTCGTCCCTGACCTGAAGTGGACTCTTTTCTAGCTAAAAACCATGGCCATCAAGTTGGAGGTGCTAGTCCTCATTCCCGCTGCTTCACACTTGACTGCAACACTGAAGATGTTGGCTACTGAACGCAACCCGATTATCTGCAAAAAGCTGAGACGAGATCAGAAACGAGATCAGAAAAGCCTTCTGTCACTTGGCTCCAGCTAGAAATACTGTCCATAAAAATTATGGATAGTATAACAAAGGGCAGCCCAATTGGAACTAATCCAGTTTACTATCGGCAATGCAGGTCAGACTCTTTTTGCAGTTGTAAAGGGCCTGAATGGCTTGTAGCAATGGTATCCATACTTCTAAAAGACCCTTCACAGCATCGCCTGACAGATAAAGTCAACTGCCTACTCCAAGTCCACAAAGCACTTGTAGATTGATCAAATTGCTAGGCACCTCTGAATTTCTTCGATAGGCTAAAGAGCTGCTCCAGCAGACTCCTCTTCAGTTCTCTGGTGCAGACCTTTCTAGGGAAGTTGAGTAGTTTGAAGCCATTATAATCCGGTCCTTAAGTCTGAAGTCACTAACCGTGTCTGGGCCTAAACTCCATATAGGTCCATATATCAAACGATCACTATGGCATTACTGAGAGTTGAAAAACTGTCTAAAGTCTTTCATCTTTAATAAAATGATCAGCGTTCTGCTCTACCAGGTGTAACAATTGAGTTTAACATCCAGGCATCCATGAAAATGGAATTTATGA